AACTTAGGAATTACCATTGATCAAAACCTATCATGGAAACCCCATATTGCTCATATCTCCAGAAGGTCAATTGGTACACTTACACTATTTCATCGTTCTCGTCAGCATCTCCCACAACCTATCCGCAAGCTCCTCATTTCCTCATTGATTTTCCCCTACTTTGACTATGGCTGTGTGGTATATGGTGGCTTCTCGTTCGAGCTTGAGGACAGACTGAAGAGAATCATGAACTGTTTTTTAAGATTTGTCTTCGGCACTTCGAGGTGGTCTCATGTGTCCCACCTATATTCCGAGTCAAATTGGCTCTTCCCCTCTTCCCGCCGCATATACTTCCTTGGAAATTTCTTATATCAAACGATCAACTCCCAGCACCCTTCCTATATCTACTGTCTCCTCAAGCCGAAACCTTTAGACCACTCAATAAAAATGAGATCCCGTGATTCTGACCTCTATATTCTATCACACAAGACAAAATCCTTTGAACGTTCCTTCTTAGCCCGCTCCGTGTGTTGGAATTCTTTGTCACATAACATCCGTCATGTCTCTTCACTGTCAACCTTCAAATACCTCCTTTTCCAATATCTCCTCACATCCCAAACAGACGATTCGCAACCATAAATTTCATTTTATGAACTGAATTTGTGAGAAGTAAATGGTGATGCCTACAGTTTAAGTTTTAACAGAAAACAGCAATGATTTTTGACTATTACTTTTACTATTTATTTGTATTTCTCTTCACCTCAGGTTGTGCTTTTTCTTTCATGTATATATGTTTATATTTTATACTTTTCGTCTCACTGTGTAGCAATATGAGTAAGTACGTATATATAGTTCCTTTTTTACCTTTATACCACAATTATTCCTGAGATTTTATTTTATCTTAGAGTTTCCTTATTATTGTATGAATCACTGTAAATATTATTACATTTTGTATTAAATTATGTTTCTATTAGATAGCCTATTGTTTATAAATTGTGCTGTTGTGTATATATAGATATGTAATTTCTTTTCTGTCTTTTTTTTATCGTAATAATAAGTAAATTTGGAGAAGATTGTATGTTCATTTATATATGTATGTATGTATGTATGTGTATGTGTATGTATATGTATGTCTATGTATGTATATATATATATGTGTATGAGTGTGTATGTATATATATATAATGAAGAGAAGAACAGTTGGGGTGCTCAGTCAAAAAAGGAAGGCAAAAATAAATTATAATATTTATTTTTTACATCTGCCGACGTTTCGACCTGAAGTTCAGGCCATCATCAGGGCTAAGAAAATAACCAGATAACAAGGTATGAGAAACTTAAGTAATGATGGTAAAAAAGATAATAACAAAAAAAATGAGAAAATAAAATAGATTAGATCTAGATAAAAGAAAAATAAAATAGATAGATATAAAGTAAAATAAAATTGTTAGAATAATGACTAAGAACTAAGAGATGAATAATACAGACTGTTACATAGTGTGGAATGATGAAGTAGGCATAATCAAAAAGGGGGTGACAAAAGTGTTACATTGGGAATCTTAGAATAAAATGTAAAAACATAAAAAAGAAATATAAAGTTATATAAGAAATGAGAATAAAATAAATAGTAAAATGAAAACATTGAGAATGGAGTAGTTTGATAGAAAATTGAGATATTGTAAAGTCTATCAAGATGTACAGACAATGTATAATATAATAGAGAGTTAACAACAGAGAAAAGGAATGAAAGGAAGGAGGGAAGAAATTGAGAAAGCTGAAATAAGAAAGAAATAAAAGAAGTAGTACCTTTCTCCTGAAATGTCAAAGTGAGAATGAAGTCGTTACAAAGAAGGTGGAGAGAGAAGGGATGTGGAGGTGGCGTCATCTGTAACGGTTATCGGACGAAGTTAGAACTAGAAGAATGCTAGAAGCCTAAATAGTTACGAGAGATATATTATGTAGAAAAATTTAATAGAAAGTGAAAGTGAATATATATATATATATATATATATGTATATATATATATATATATATATATATATATATATATATATATATATATATATATATAAGGGAGTTGTCAGCAAAAAGGAAAGGAATATAAATATGGATGTTTTAATAAATTCAGAATTTGGCTATAGGTTAGAGAAAAGTTGTTTTTGTCAGATTTAAGGTTCACTGTCTTTGGTTGAAGCTGGATGTGGAGGGTTTCAGAAATGAGTCGTTTGTCATGGTTGAGAACAGTGGCAAGGATGGATGTTTTGTCGAAGTCAAATGAATGATTGAGGGAGAGAGAATGTTCGGATAATTATCCGACTTTGGGATCAGACCATTTCTTGATATTATTATTGGTGTAACCAATGCACTTTCGAAATGGTACAATTCCTTTATTTCGAGCTCTAATTCTTGGTACTTACGGAGCTTCTCTCCAGCGGTTGTGCTTATATTGTTAACATTTGGTATCGTGATATCTATTAGCTTTGCCTTCTTTGTTCCTAAATCTATAATAAGGATATCGGGTCTGTTGTGACGCACTGTATGATCCGTTATAACAGATTCATCCCAATACATCTTGAGGGATCCTTCCTGAAGTAGCCTAATCGGATTGTATTTATGGAAGTGGTAGAATATTTTCGACACATTATTGTGCCTATGCAGATACTCCGTACCAGCAAGCACTCCACATCCAGCTGTGATATGTTGGATTGATTCGAACGTCATTGAACATTTATCGAATATTGAACATTAACGAAGTCCACATTTATCAGATGTTGTACTATCTTTCAGAACGTGCCTCCTATATGTACGTGTGGCAATGACCTGATCTTGAAGGGTGACTACAAATCCTTCTGTTCTAGGGAATAGCCTTCCTGCCGTTAACCATTCCTCTGATCTTTCTTTGTATATGGAGGCTTCATTCAATTGGCTTTAGTATCTGCCATGTAGTGCATTTCTTGTCTATTCTGATAGTCTTTCATTTTCTGACATAACTGTGAAATCTTCGACTTTGTTCAAATTGAGTGCTGTTAGACCTGAGTCCATATTGCATATAGTGATTGTATATTATTATTATAGTATTATTAGTTATATGGATATGACTGGATATTCATATTATTACTATTGGAAATGAATATTTGATCAACTTGTATATTACTGTATCTCGATTCGTTAAAATATTAAAAACAAAAATTGTTTTAATTTTAGAAGAAATTAAAGACGCTTCTTATGCTTTGTACAATTGATTGACAGTTTGGGGCTATTAATAACACATAATGACACAGTTTGATATTACAATAATTTGGAATCTCGATTAAAACCAAAAAGAAGATAACTCAATCACTTGATGAAATCGTGAGTACAGAATTAAGAATTGCTATTATAAATCCGTTCACCGATTAATAAACAATGAAACGTTGTTAAGTAACTGATGGAGTACTCGGGGTATGTTGAGTTAATTTTTAACATCTTTTCAGCTAGTGATGTTATTAGCTTTCTGCATTCTTCATCTTCTTCCCATCCGGCATAACTCTGAAATTCAGCTCGTTAAAAAAGTAATTAAATTTGACAGGCATTTAATCACTTATAGACACTAATTATTATAAATAGGACCATGCTTTATGGATCTCATAAATAACTGCTAGAAGGCAGGTGTGATAAGCTCTCCAATTAAAATTTGCTCAACACCACTGTCCCGGGGAATTTCAGAAAAATGAAATTACCATCACAACTGTTTAATCTCATTATTTTTAAGTGCGCCCATTCAAAGATAATTTAACTAGTTTATTTTAACTAAAATCATTTAAACGTGTAATTTAGCTAACATTATTATATTATTGAATAATAATGTATGATTTATGTATGTAAAAGGTTATGTAATAAATAATAGAGTTTAATTTATATCCTGTGTTATTATATCCGTGGTCTATGCCAATAAACAACGTTCAACTAAATAGAAAACTATTTCACGTTTTAATTTGTAACTTTTTATGTTCACCAGTGTGCGACCTAAAATTTGGTTATATGTGTCTCGGAAGATGTTACATTTACAAATATGTTAAACTTAAACTCCCGTTCTCGTCCATTTAAAGGCGCGATAATAATTGCGTTTCAGTTGGAAAACCCTTGTTACGGAAAATAATTAACTAAGGTATTGAGAAAAGGAAAGGGATTTTTTAATGACTAGTCAAAAAAGAAAACATTACTTGTTTGAGCATGCGAATTAAAAATTTGCTCAGTGAGGTGATTAATAAGATAGTAAGATGATAATTTGATTAGTTGATTTTCGTATATTTCTCTTTTCTTTAAATAGGTTTTTTCTTCAATTTTTTGGGAATTTCACTAATCCAAAGGAGTGATAACTTTTTTTTATATTACACTAGGAAATTCATGAATCAGGATGAATTTTCCCTACATTTTTCATTTCTTTAAATAGGCGTTGTGCTCACTTTGTTGGGATTTTTTTTCCCGCCATCTAAGGAAGCGAGCGCCTTCTGGTAGAATTAGCTAGTGCTGGTCACGATAGTATTATTTTTTTATATTATATTAGGAAATGAGGATGAATTTTCACTGCATTTCTTTCCTTTAAGTACCTGTTTTTTGTCTCTTTTTTTCGGGATTTATTTCCACTATCCAGGGGAGGGCGCGTCCCTTGAAAGATTGAAATTCCCTTGAAATTACATTAGGAAATTCGTGTATGAGTATGAACATTCCCTACATTTCTCTTTTCTTCAAATAGGTGTTTTTTTCCGATTAGTCCAAAGGAGAGCGTGCCTCCTGGCAGAATTCGCAATGTAATCAAACATTTTTCACTTTTCCATACTTGTTAGTTGAAAGAATCAAACAGTATAAAATATATATGTTTTTAATTTCTGAAAATTAATTTCAGTTGCATAGCCATTGTAACTGTAATTCCAGCTTAATTGTATTGCAGTTAATTATAATTATTTATATGATACAAATGTTATTTTACCCTTTAATGTTTGGATCCAGAGGAAATGGAAATGAATAAATAAATAAAAAAACAATTAATATTTAGATATAATATGAACATTTATTTACAATATTTATTCATGGAAGCCATGTGATAGTTGGTACATTCTTTTTTTAATGGGCAAATAATCTAATAATCTTTAATATAATATTTGCCTAATGACATCACCATTTTAGCTTTTATAAAACTAGTTTAGTTTAAATCATGTTTTTATTTTAATACATGTTAACTCATTTCAAGTAAAAAAAAAAGTTAAAAGTAAATATATACAGGGTGCATAAGTGCATTTTATAGAATTTGGCATATTTATGGTTAAAACTTTTCTAAATTATCCACTATACATGAACATTTCTTTAAATAAATAAGGGTACACTATTTATTACAGTTTATTAATACTACAGCAGGTTAATAAAGTGCTTAATATAAGCAATAGAATCCAGAACATTTCATCCTGGAAAACCTGCATTTGTTCGCTTTGAGTGGGAGTTGCAGGAGTACTGTGGGCCAAGTATTTTACTCAAATACTCACCTCTGCCGAGTGTCAACAAATTGAATTGATGTCAACTTCAGCTGATGTCAACCGATTAACTGAAGTAGTCATTGAATTCATAATAGTGATTCAATTTGAGTAAAATGATTGGCCCTCCGTACTCAGAGTAGCAATCTCTGGTTGTTTGTTGCATCATCGCTATCAGCCTATTGGCTACATAAATTATTAATAAACAGATATTATATGTAAGAATTTTAATGTTTGAGCTGAATTACAAGTAGTACGTAAGTATACAAGCTCTTTAAACTTTAAAATTGACAGCCAAGTACATACAACCTCTATAAACTTAATATCTTCTAAAAATATTTTTGTATTTACAAACAAAGGTTTGGTATTCACTAATGAATTATTTAGAAAGCGGCTTAAAGACAAAAATATTACAAATCTATGAGTGGGATTCTCTTCAAAACCAAAAATAATTAATTAAATAAAATAATAAATAACATGAGCATAAAGTAAGGCTAAAGCTGCTAAGGAATCTTGAAGATTCAAATAGATTATCTGTATATACATTATGTATATGTACATATACACATAGTTAAATAAACTCCGGATTTGATGACCACTTTTTCGAATTAATGAGACGGAATTTATTTCGTTTTTATTTAATCATGGTTACCAACCTCTTCTATAGCGGATCCAGCGAATAATTCCATCTTAAAATATTATATTACAGCTCGCTTTCCATTAATTATTTCATACATATTTTGTACCACGAAATAAAATATTTTCTCCGACCAAACAAAACAATAAAATAAATATAGAAAATGTATTATTCAAGGCTAGTTCCTTTAGAACAAAATTAGAATGGTGTATTAATTAATTCTATTGAAAGCTATTGTATATTTGGTCTGCATTTGTATGATTGAAATTTCCTAATTTATATTTTTCTTACTGTTTGATATTATTTAAAAATTTAATATAAAAAAAAAATCAGGTATTTTTGTCATTTATACTTACTCAAACATGTTCATAGGCTACGAAGTTTATCTTTATTTATTTTTTAAATTTTTAGTATTTTCATGACAAATAGGTCTGTTCAAACTTTGTTTTTTACATTTACAAGAAGTTGTCTTATTTACAAAATGTTAATACAAATAAATAAAACTTTAAATTTATAAAGTTCCCCACTTATCATATATCTAATATTCTTGTTACAAAAAAAAAAATAGAAAGAAAATAAAAATAGAAAAAAATATAGGAACTCTAAAAATATAAACGTTGTCTGAACTTTAACTTATGTTATGGACCATATTTTTATTAAAATAATCAATATGGTTTCAAGTTCGTAAGGTTGGATTTATAGATTATTACATTCAAATTCCATGGTCGTCTGTATATCTATGATTAAACAAACTAAAATAATTGTCAAGTGTACAGAAAAAGTGGTATTTTTTTTTTTCGTTTTTAATTACAAAGTTTCTCTAGTTTCTAAAAAAATACAAAAAATATAAATATCTAATAATTGTAAGGAAAGATACTCATAGAAATACAAATAGTTGAAGCAGTGACCGCGTATTATTTGTTTAAAACTTAACCTTGTAAGGAGCGTATCCTTATCCTTGCAAAATTACATAAAATGGTGATTGAAGGATCCCTAATATTTGTATATATCTATGCCTTAAGATATTCTTTAAAATTTTGCTTTTATCTTATGCCTAGAAGAAAAATAAACATGAAATATGTTTCATGTTTTTTTAGAGACACACTAACTAACTAAAGAGATATCTTATATTATTACTGGTATCCGTCAAATATTAAAACCCTTTAGCGGAAAGTGGGTTTTGATTTCTATTCTTACAGTTCCTTATTGCCTGCTCGCAAAAGTTTCAGGAAACAACTACTGATAGCTATACTGGTAGGACGGAACTGAGAATAATAAAATTTGACTTCATGTCTGTGTCCTTTCCTTTCAATGTGTTTAGTATAAAACTTAACGGATTCCTGTAAGTATGGCATTTTAAAACTCAATATCATTTTAAAATCAGTTTAATCAAGGTATCTACATCAATAATAATCAAGAGTGATAACTTTTAATAGAAGTGAATAAATCCTAATTATAATAAAGAGTGGGTATAGTGCCCATTCTCAAGCTCTTGATTAATTCTAACAAAGTCTAAAAAAAGACAAATTAATGTATATATTTTCAATGTTAAATATTGTGGAAGATGAATGTAAACTTTACAGACAAAATTATCACTGTTACAACTATTTGTACTTTAACATTTTATAATTTCAAAGATTTTGTGCCATTAATGTGAGAATGTTAATTTCGTTCATTGAAATGCAATTGGAAATGTTAAATAAGTGCACAAGAGCGTGATGAAGATTGTACACTCTTATAGAAATATAAAAATAATCAACATTTAAATAAGTAATATATTGATAACAAAACTTTTATCTAACAAAAGTACAGAAAGGGGCAGGATAAAGGATTCCTATTGGTCTTTGAGTGACCATGATCAATTAATTTATGGCTTGCTGGCGAAGGCTCAATAGCCACATTGTATATCAATTAAGTATTGTGTTATCTTCTCCAATCGTTTTGAGATGATTCCATCTTGGACTTAAACAGGATATGTACAGCGGCTAAGCCCAACTCGTAAACCATCTTTTATACAACATCAAAAGAATTTTATTCTTTTCGGTTTATTCGGCCAATAAGGAGCTCCAAGGAGCTTCCGATTTAACATGAAATTTACCGGCTTCTTTTCTTTTCGGGAGCTCATAGTCCAATTTTTACAAGGATCACTTGTTTTTGCGTATTTTCTTTGATATATTATATATGATATTGTAATTAAAACAAATATTAAAATAAATAAGATGTGCGGTTGCCAAGGTGTAGTAACTATTTCGAATGTGCATTCTAATAAAAGACGAGCAAGTTTAAGAATTGAAATCCCTAACTGCGGATAGATGGTTACATTTTTCTTCTTTTCCACAAAATATCTATGCATTGTTTTGTATTGATTTTTGTTTGGAAATAGGCTTTGGGAGCATTATTGCATCAAGATAATTCTTAATGCTGATTGGCCCACTGTCACAAGGAGTGGTAGTGATGTAGCAAGGAATCACTCGTCTCCATTCCATGGTTTGGGTACCCCGAACCCAGGCCGCTCTGCAACAGAAAACAAAAAAAAAATATTAATAAAATGTGAGCAAATAGCTGATTAAGAATTATAACTATAAGGTATACATATTCGTTCATTGCTTTCAAGCGGCTAAACAACTTTAAATTTTGTTATGCATAAAATAAATTAGTACAGATCTTTACCCATATGAACATATATGAACCAACAAACAATCATACAATAATTGTATTTATACTATTATACACATGAATAATATCTTGTCTTAAATAAAAATTTATCTTAATGTTGCAACTCCTCTCCTACACTGGTTCTGTTTTCGGTCAGCTATGCTGGTAGGGCGTGTAGAGCTAAATAATTTTTGAATGAATAATTTTTTCTTTAATAGTATTGTTATTATTCATTTAAATAACATTGTTTGCGCCTGACCGGTAAGTCCTCTAATTACATATTTTTCATTTAAAAAGCAACGATTTTGAAAAGGTACATTAGTACATATACCTTGAATAGGCAGAAATTTGGCTTTATGAATAAATAAGTGATTTTTTTTTAAATACTGAGACGGTTGAGGGCTATATATTATTTATTAATTTATAAAATATATTTTTAACAGTTATTAAGCTTATTTCTTAAATTATGGGCCATAATTTTGTACTAGATTAACCATGAACCATTAATTCTGTAATCTTCCCAATTTGGATGATGGAATTTTACTGCTGAGACTCGTGTATATCTATACATTCTTTTAAAGGCTAAACTTCTCCAGCCGAAGTATATTTCTCCTCCTCTTCATCATACTTTCGAATAAGTTAAGAAATATTATTTTTCATTTTCATTAATTTTAATTATTGAAGACTAGGTGCTCAGTTATTAGAAGATTTGAATTTAGTACATTGAGTGCCCTTGAAAAGAATTGTGTTACTACTAGAACTTAATATTTTTGTTTTATTTTCTTTCTAAGCAACGATTATTTTTATCATTTCCTACATGTTTTGTATTTAGTTTCAAGTATTTAACACACAGTTCCATTTGTTTAGTTTTGGATACATTGTTAGTTTACTTAAAGCTTATTTTATTTTATTTACATAATGTAATCTTCTTTTTTATAAGTAATTTTTGTATACAATGCTATTATTATTAGGGGACTTGGTCCCAGAATAAAGTCATTCTATTCTCTGTATAGTATTCTATTCTATATCCTCAACTTCTCCAAATCTTTCAATTCCTAAAACAGTGCTATATTTGGATTCCAATCTTTCCTCTTTGATCGGTCTCAGGTAATCAGTATTCCGAATCAATCCTTATCTTCCTTTCACAGGCCATCCTCTGGGGTAGCCCAGGGCTCCAGAATTTCCCCTCTCCTTAACAATTCCTATATCAATGACCTTCCTAGTTCAATCCAACATTGCTCATACCATCTATATTCTCGTCACCATTGCCAACCTTTGGGTGGGGCGAGTGGGGCATTCCCCTGGAGGGGCCCCCAGGGGCGCTTCCCATTTGTTCCATCTTATTTTTTCAACTTGTTCATTGAGAAATAATACCACCTGTCTCAATTAAGGACACTTATAATAGAGATTAGACAGCACATTTACACCATATGTTAGAAATTAAAAAAATACTGACTTAAAATAGAAAAATGATGAATGAAATAAATATATGTGTATGTGTGTGTGTGTGTGTGTATTTATATATATATATATATATATATATATACTCTTTTTCCCCATGACAACTTTAATTATGCTAAAGGAGATATTAGTTAGTTGTTTATTATATATTATTATCTTAATTACTGTAAATATCCAATCATTTTTATTGTTAGTTTTTATTAGATTAGCCTACTGTTTATGTTAAAACATCAATCAATCCTTTTTCTTCACTTATTTTTGTTCATTTGTCTTTTTTAAGGGTTTTGCTTTTTCTTTTTATATATATTTTCTCTTCCCATTACAATTATAATTATTCACGTGAAGACTTTATTTTTATTGTTTTAGTATTTATAGGATATTTTTATATTAATGAATGCACTGTTAGAATTTTTATTAAGTCAGTTTTTATTAAGTCAACCTATTGTTTATATTTTTTACCTAAAAAATCAATGACATTTCTTTTCTTACTTTTGTTATTTTTTTCTTTTCTTCAGGTTTTGTATTTTCTATCTATATATCTTTTTTTTTTAGTTGTTTACATATTATTATTAAAATTGCTGTATATATTGTTAGAAATTGATGAAGTTAGTTTTCGGCCAGATATGTATTTTTTTTTTTATTTCTTCATCATTGTTATTCTGAGAAGACTTTCTCAGAAAATGGAGTGTTTTTTTTCAGTTCTATTCTTTATAGAATAGAATATATATATATATAAAATATATATATTTTTTTAAAGTATTTAAAAATTAAAAATACTAAATAATATTTAAACCGTTTACTTTTAGCTTTTTAGGTGACAAAATAAGGCATTAAATCTTATAATTTGTGTCGTTATGTATTCCATTGGATTGGAGTATGTTATTGTAAGACCACATATGTGGACGATATTTGTATAAATGATTTTATCATCCCAGTCAATATGTTACTTGTGCACAATGGTATTTTCAGTTTTATTTGTAAAATTACTTACGACTCATAGCTTATAAGATAAAATATACTTAATAAAACAAATAAATATTAATATTTCATAAACTTACATGACTCGGAGGTAAAGCTGTCCTGTGAGGTAAATCTGATGTGTCCAAGGATTCGCAAGAACTGGAATCTAAGGCTGAAGTCCCAGCGTTTGCCACTTTATTGCTCACTGCCGTCGGGGGAGGGCTCCCTCTGGAAAAATAATAAACAATATTCTTCAACAGCAGCAGTGGTATAACGGCACAGGATATGTGTTATTGTTTCACAAGATTCAATTATCCTTCTTTGTGAAGAATTAAGTTTATTGACTAGATTTTCTCAATCATATCCCATATCCCAATCAATGGATTGGCCATGCAGGACCATTTGCTTGGCCTGCACGCTCTCCATACCCGATGCCACTGGATTTTTTTGTTACACGTTAGCATTCGGTGAAAGAGAAAGCCAGGATACCCGACTGTGTCTGAAAAAGGAAGCTGGATAGAATTAAAGTGGACTGATTGACAGGATCTGCGCTGGAGAGTGAAGGTAATATGTTTGCATTTGGACTCGTTTACTTTGATGCGCCATTTATTACACCAATGCTCAATCAGGAAGAGGTGTTTTAGAGAATTAATATATTTGTCACTAAGTATCACAACCATCTCATTGTGTTATAGAAATCATTGGATATTGGAGATAACGATATTTTCATTCAATATTGTACTAATATCCACATGAAAGGCCAATATCGGTATCGATTAAGAATATCGCAACTTACCCTCTAGTCCCAATTGAGAAATATTAGTTAATTACTGAAACAGTGTATTAGTTGTTTATTAATATTAAAAATATTAATTTTGAAAAAATATCAGATTAAAACAGAAACTGAGCAAACGGGAATAAAAAAAATATTAGGAAACAAATTCAAGAATAAATACGGAAAAAACATTTTATTAATCATAGAAATAAAAAATCGCGAAACAATAGAAGTGAAGGAAAAGTGAAGGAAAAAACTAATAGTGATCCACTTGATGCACCATGTACAATCATCATACTATATTTTTAATTTTTATTTTAAAGAACCATTTTTTGAAAACTAATTTCTCGATTTAAATTCAGTTTATTCCTCTGTACACATTTACTTGATGTATTCATACTAATACAGTTGTAAATATCATAATAAAAGTTTAAAAAAAAAAAAAAAAGTTGTTTAGAGTTTGATCGTATTTGTTTATCTTTATTTTAATTTTATTCCATGCAATAATGAAATAGTGTTTTAATCAGGGCTTGAGATTATTATTTAATATTTATTCATATTCAGTTTCGAAGTGAACTAGTACTTTTTGTTATTGAATATTTTAATAAACATTTTTAGTCAATTTAAAAGTTCCGTTAAAAGTATTACTTTACTGAATAGTAGATGTAAAAAATAGTAATTGTAGAATACATTATTAGCTACTTCAGCATAGAAAATCTAACATTTAGGTGATACATTAAAAAGAATTATTTCTGACATCTAAGTCCACTTGATAAAGACGTGTTTTTTAGTTGCATACAAATTTCAAGACCTTTAATATTAATATTTAATGGCTTTTAAAATATTTAATGGCTTTAAGCAATTGAAATAATTAAACATTCGTTTCAGCACAACCTGCACATGAGTTTTAATTTATACTTATAGCTCTGTTATATTTTCATATTGTATATTGGTCTTTTTATAACAGTGCAGCTCGCAATATTCTGCATAAGCATGCATTTGTTTATCCTCCTTAGTTTAGTTGTTGGTAAAATACCTTCCGTTCCACCCGTTTTTCTTGTTATTATTAATATTCTCCTTTATTATAACTTTTTGTTTCATTTCCATATATATGTATATATATATCGATTGTCACTATTAGTGTGGATATGGTTGATCATAGATTCTAATTTCAGAAGAAGTTAGTCGATGGTGCGGTCAATATATGAAATATTATACTACAATAAAGTATTTTTATTGTTTTATCCAACGTTCTAGTTTATTTAATTATATATAAAACACATTGTTTTTCAAACGTTATTGTAATTATACCACATTACTTATGATATCTTGATATTTCCACAATTACTTTCTCTAGTAACTTGTAATATTTCAATATCAACAGATATTTTATTTATCATTTATGGTACCTTGCAACAAATTACATAGGTTGTTTGTATCTTTTTAGCCTTGATGAAGACCTACGTCTAATAGGTCGAAATGTTGGATAATACAATCAAAATACTGTCGTGTAATATAGTCTTTTTTATACTGACCGCACCCCCGACTAACTTCGTCTGATATCATCACTATTACTTATTTTCCAAGTTTTTGGCAGATTATAATTTTTGACAATAAAGAGTCCAAAGAAATTCTATCAGGAAGCGAGCTAGCCAATGAGTACGTGAAGATGATGTGTAAAAACAATTTTACAACATTTCGGAGAAGGATCAAGATAACATACCCTCGTTTATATATTATATTTAAGAATCTAAGAGCTAAATTAATTAATAATTTCAAAGTGGGTTCGATAGCGACTATATGTTTATTTAAAAGCTAATCCGAAAGTAACAAGGGAGGTAGAAGCATGAAGAGGCTATGCACCTGCCCAAATTAATAAGAGCAACCCCCGCGGGCAGGTTCTGCTTTGAGCTAACTGCTAGGGAGCCCCCCTCATCTACCCTCCCCCCCAGAATAGATCGAGTTTCACAAACACAGTGCACTGTCCGTCCTGAAAATACTATTCACCCTCGCTTTCTAAAGGCGAAAACCAAGTTTTTCTGTTACAAGGAATGTCAATAATGAAGGCAATCGAGTTTTGAAAGTATAAGTGTGGAGTCGAGTTTTGGGAAGTAACTTTAAATGGCGATTCAAATCCAATAAATATTTAGACAAAAAATAAACAATAGATGTTTAGTGAAAATAGAGCCGCCTATCTTTACCACCTAACCAATATATTTTGAATTTACAATGCATTTCCATCATCTCAATTTGAGCCTGATTCTCCAAATAGGTGGTTTTTGTTGCTCAATACTAAAATAATCTTAACTTTCGATGCAATTTTTATTTTCACCCTCGACATTTTACAGGAAGTTGGACATGATGAGAGACTCATCAACATATATTATTCTCAAAAATGTCCACTCTCAACATCCCGAAGAAAATACCAGAGAGACGTAGATGAAAAAGATTTTCTCAAGGGAAAAGTTTGCTAAATGTATTTTAGAGGGCGTTTAGGCTGAGCAATATACTGAGCTTAATACTCCACTATAAAAAAATTTAAATGAGCCTGAGCAATATACCAAGTCTATGCCATGACTATAAAATATTTTTATTTATTTAGTTATTATTTGCCATGGAAGGATATGGTCCGGAGTGGCGGCCATAAATAGGCTAAATAGTGGCAAAACTATTTTATTAAAAGGCAACGTTTCGACCAGACTTCGCTGGTGTGTTCAGCTAGGAGTTTCACTAAGAACTCATCGCTGGCTTTTAATAAAATAGTTTTGCCACTGTTTAGCCTATTTATGACCGCCACCCCGGACCATCTCCTTCCTTTATAATGCAACGGTCAACTATCATATCAAATATTCAATTTTATTTTTCATTTTCTATACTATTACAAGACTTGAATTTGTATGAACAGACTCGGTATCTGCGAGCTCATTCATTTCCAGCAATGTCTATAGAAATGCCAGTTATTAGTTGTGGATACTGTCATTCAATTAGTATTAAATCCTAATATATCTTAGCGAGTGATAGTGTATAAGTGGCAGTAATAGATATCTATATCGATGTCTGTAAAGTGTCCTTTATGCCCCGCAGAATTGATTTTAGCGAAGAAATAAGCGAATTAGTCAGCAATACTAGTGTCT